ATTCCTTTTGTTAAAACTTCTGCATTTTCATAATATTTCTGTTCTTTTTGAAAATGTTGAAATTTAACAATTTTGTTGTTAATATAAACATTTCATATTAATAACAACTATAGCACAGTATACTAATGTATACAAAAATAAGTCCCGAATAGATTCTTTTAATCAAACTTTGTATGAAGAAGGGCAGGAAGGAGAGGATCGAGACAATAGGGAGAGGCAAGGGTAAAATGTATGAATGAAGTTTAGTTTGTTATGACAAGAAGAATGTTTACATTTATAAATTAGGATACGTAATTAAACAATGACTCTACCAAACAAATTCTAGGAGTGATATGTTTGCAAAAATTGTATATAGCACAGCCCTTGCTTCAGATTCTTGCGTTTTAGACATAATGTGAAGGAAGTTTAACAATATTTGGAAAGCCAGATAACAAAATCAAGAAATAAGTTACCATCTAGTTAATGGAACTGGTCAGATTGGCAGAGAGAGAGAGTAGCTATAAAACTTCTATCAGGAGGAGGATAATTCTCCATTCTATCCCATTCTTCCATGCAATCTGCAGATCTTAAGTTTTTGACTAACATCAAGTTTTAGTGTGAAAAACATGAACTTAATATGCAGTGATTCTGCATATAAAAAGTAATACAGGTAGTTTACTTGTTTAGCGACCACAATTGGGACCGGCAGCTCTGTTGTTAAGCAAAGTGGCCACTAAGTGGGATGTCACATAACTGACTGCTTTCCTTTTCCCCGCTCCTCCACCCTTTGGAATGCTCACCCCAGCACTGGGATAATTAGGAAGAATGTTTGTATTTACATTCATTGGAGAGGAGGGGATTATAAGAGAGTAAGCAGGCACACAATGGTGATTACACATCGAAAGCATTGTGCTGGCCCTGGCACCCCCAAGCATGCTTGGGGCTGGAAGTTGCGAGCATGCTATGCAAACAGGCCAGTGTATTTCCCATTGTGTGCCTGCTTGCTCTCTTAAAATCACTTCTCAAATCTTTGCGCTCTGCGGGGGATGGAAAGAAAAAACAGGTCAGGAACAGAAGAAATCACTTTTTTTTTTTTAACGTTCCCCCCACTTGTTTAAGCAATCTCTCCACTCTGGGGGGGGGGAAGGGAGTGGTTTCTGTAGGCAAACTCTCCTGTGCCTCAGCTGGTTTATTCTTGCACCCTCCCCAGCAGAGCAGAAAAATTGGAGAGAAAGGGATTACAAGAGAGCAGTAGGGACACAATGGAGAGTACACTGGGCTGTTTGCATAGCATACAACTTCCAACCCCAAGCATGCTTGGGGGTGCTGGTGCCAGCGCATTCCTTTCTGTGTGTATTCCCCATTGTGTGCTGGCTTACTCTCTTGTAATCCCTTCATCTCCAATTTCTCCACTCTGCAAGGGGGGAAAAAAGAAAAACAGGTCAGGCACAGGACAACGTATACTGACTAATGAGGGACACTGTGAAGGTTGTAAATGCAGGCACTGGTCATAAAGTTATTTATTCAGCACTGTCATAACTTCGAATGGTTGCTGAATGAGGCAGTTGGTAAGCGAGATCTACCTGTACTTTTATATTAAATAATATAGACTCTTTATTGGTTTCTGAATCAATTGTTTACTTTTGGCTTTATTTGTGGTCAGAAGATTAATTTTGCAAAGTCATGCCTGATTCAGTCTTCTAAACTCTGCTCTTACCCTGTCAACAAAGCCACCTCCCATGGTAGAGGCTCCGCAAGGAATTTTAATTTTCTATTCTATTACGCCCATGGATTAGAGAGGAATGGAAGAGTAGTGTATCTCTCTTCTTAAACGCATGGGGCTACAATTTTTCTTGGGTTCATAATTTACTGATCATAGTCCAAGATTGCTATGATGGTATGTATGATGACAATTATTAGCATATGTGCTGCATTCAACCCTCATATCCTGGTTTGAATTGTGTTTTGGTTCCTATTCTAGGACTGTGTAATTGTGGGTCTGCATACCTGTGGTGATCTAGCTCCAAGCACACTGAGACTTTTTAATGCTGTACCTGAAATCAAGGCCGTTTGCAGTGTGGGTTGCTGCTACCATTTGCTTTCAGAGGAACATGAAATGCATGAAGGTAAGACTGTTTTTAAGTGTGTGTGGAATTAATAAATGCCTATCATTGTTCCTGTCACTGAATCATTTTTTGCTGTTTTTAATTATGTTTTCTGGGGGAGTCACTTCTGAATGGCCTGTGGTTTTCTGTTTGGCATTCTTTTTTTCAGTTTTGTACTGGTTGTGGGCTTATTAATGGAAAACACTTTTGTGTGGTTATAGAGACAGCTGTTTTTACTTCACCTCAGTAAAAAATGTGTTTGTTCATTATTATTATAATTCCATCCTCTTAAAGAATGAATGCCCTTGGCAATGTACAGAGAACAACCTCAGAGTAATTCATTATATGGTAAGTTGTGCATATATGTTTCTGGAAACATTGTTGCTGCTTACAAAAGTTCCTTTATAGAGCCATTCAACTTCAGAATGTGCCATTTTAAAGTTAGTATTAGAATATTATAGTTGCAAATATGAATGTCATCCAAACTGGCTTAGAACATGAGCACTGATCAACATACAGTAGATGTAAATGCATGTACAGATGTTTAAGAGGTTCAGAGATAATGGCGCATGTGTATAATGCAGTAAATTTCAGAAATGAAATTTTGAAAATATGTTTGTATCTTGGAATATATTTTTCATGCTTTTCTGTGATGTGAAATATGAAAAATGCAAAATGTCCACAAATTGTCTTATGAATTGTACCCTCCCCACATACATAATAGACAAAGATTTGTCTTCCTTCCTTCCTTCCTTCCTTCCTTCCTTCCTTCCTTCCTTCCTTCCTTCC